ATCAATCGTTTCTGGATATTTATCAGAGAATCTGCATTTTGGGCTGACACAATATTTTAGTATATGTGCTTGATAATTCCTAGTTAGCAAGTATTGGTCCTGCGCAGCAAGGATGAAACCTTCAGTTTCCGCTTTCAACTCTGCACTACGTAGCCACTGATGGGTACGGGTTTTGTCTACGTCAGCTTGTTTGGTACGGGCAGAGTATTGGCCATGAAGCGGTTTATCTTGCCATCGCTCCTGTAACTGGTCGGTTGCATTCGTCTTAGCTATCTTTTTTAGGTATTTTGCAGTTTCAGCCGGTGTATTGTGCTGTAGTTGCATCTCTACGCCCATTTGGAACTCCATTTTGAATTTGTTGGCTTCCTTCATTACGGAGTAGAGACGCTTACTACTTTCATGTTCCTTGACGCATACCATCATCCAGTCTTCTGTAGTTTCCAAATATCTTTGGAGGCCAATTGTTGTAGTTTTGTAGGACAGTTCTAGTTGAACTAATCCTCTGCCTCCTTCGGATCTGGGCACATACAGACGGTCGACATCAGGTTTGGGATGATGCATGCGATAGCAAGTGAGTAGCTTTCTCGTTTTGGCATCCATTCGCTTAATTTCAGCTATGGTCCAGTTAATGACATTAAAGCTGTATTGCACCACAGGGACAGCCAATGTGTTTATGGCTGATATCCTGTTTTTGAGTTTAGCTCAGTATTTAGTACCAGACGTACACGCCTGTAGTATTCTTTTTCTTATTTTTTCCTTCATTTGGGGGTGTTGTATGCCATCTCCTTCGCTAATTCTTAGGTACTTATAAGCTTCACTATGCTCCAGTTCCCTAATTTTTGTGACAAAATCTAAATCTATTAAGGGTGTTTCTGTAATTCTAACTTTCTTGAAAGTTACTTTTGCACATTTATCTAATCCGAAGTCCATACCTATGTCGTCACTGAAGTATTTTACAATATTGAGGGAGGCCTTTCAACTCATTGTCGTCTTTGGCAAAGAGTTTGAGATCATCCATGTAGAGTAGGTGATTGAATATTTTCTTATTTATTTTGTAACCATAGCTACTGTTGTTCAGTTCATGTGTAAGAGGGATTAAGGATAAACAAAACAGAAGGGGTGACAGAGAATCTCCTTGAAAGATTCCACGTCGGATACTCAGACGGTTGGATATGGCAGTGCCCCCGGTGTGACTAAGGTATAGTTTGGTGTTCCACATTCCCATGCTGTGCTTAAGGAAATTTAATACCACAGGGGAGACTTTGTACATTTCCAAAGTCTTAAGGATCCAAGAATGTGGAACACTATCAAAGGCTTTACGATAATCAATCCACGCTGCATTTAGATTCCTGCGTCGTCTCCTGCAATTTTCCAGGATCATTTTATTTATCAGAAGTTGATCCTTGCATCCATATGAACCTCTTCTGCATCCATTCTGTTCCAGCGGGAGAGTGCTGTTTGTTTCGAGAAAGGAATAAGTACGGTTCGTCAATACAGACGTGATCAACTTATACGTTGTGGAGAGACATGTTATCGGTCTATAATTTTTCGGGTCGTCTGTTTCAGTTGTTTTTGGTATGAGGTATGTCATACCTTCAGTAATCCATTCCGGGGTTTTATAGGGATTATTTACAAGCGTTGATAATGTTTTTGCAAGAATTTCATGGGTAGATGTGAGATGATACAGCCAGAAATTGGGCAACTTGTCACTTCCTGGGGATTTCCATTTTTTGGGATTTCGTTAGAGCTTGCCTAACTTCATCTGTGGATATATTTTCCCATTCTTGCAGAGGTGTATCCAGCATTCGTTCTTCTTCACGCCGTATCCACTCTGTATTTGGGTTATACTCCTTTGGGCTGCTCCAGATATTTTCCCAGAATGTCTGTACATTATCAATCGATGGTGGCCTTTCGACATGTATAGGTGTTTTTCCAATTTCCCTGTAAAATTTCTTAAGATCTGTTCGGAATATTTTATTTTGGCGATAGAACCTACAACGTTTTTCGTATCGTCTTGTTCTCTGCGCCTTCAGCTGAAGTTTCTGCTTCAGCATTTCCTTGATTGATGGAATATCAATTAGGGATTTAATGTTATATTTCCGCTTGATCTTTTTGAATTTACGTGTGGAAATATTAGGGTTTTCTGGTGAGCTCATCTAATATAGAAAGCTCACATCTGTTGTTGTATTTCTCGAATCAGTTTGGTTTTCCAAGCTGGTTCTCTGTGTCTGTTAATTTTATTTATTGTCTTGACTCCAAGCTTCCGAGTCGCTGCTAAAGCTGTGGCGTATATGACGTTGTTAACTTCTGTGATGTTTCCCGGTGGTTTATCTGTTAACAGTGTTTCCAGAGCAGCATTGTATATTTTCACGATGTGCCTGTTGGAGTTCGTCATATGGATTTTCGGGAGCTGGTCTCTGTCTGACAATTGTGTTAATGTTACTCTGCTGAGTACTTGGATGACGTTATTATTATTATTATTATTATTATTGTGTCTGAGTTAGAAATATAGAAACCCCAAGATATTGGCCACCCAGTTTGATAAGAGTATATCATACACATACACCACAGGCAAATGTGTACCATATTGAGGAAGGTTTTGATAAAAGCAATGCTTAACCTCTCAGGTGAATCCCAGTTAGAAATACCTTCTGGTTGGGTAACCTAGTCCGCCCAGAAGGTCAGCGATTGAGGGCGTTCACAAGTATCTGACTACTATGTCGCCTTGTCTGCCTCATTCCTCAAACTTTAAAAAAAAATCAAAACTGTCTTACCCCTTGGCCTTGATGCATCCCCAGTAATCCCGCTTATGAAGAGATATAAATAGTACCCTAGGGGACATGTCCAACTGTTTATAGTCGGGCGACTGACAAACAAGTTAGTGCTATCGAACAGCATATTATTCTATCTCTTCTTAATTCACAAAAACAAGCAAAAAATGTTAGTACATCGAATCAATTAAGATCAGAGGCCCTGAGAAACATTCCTGGTGTAGCAGAAGGTTATTATTATTATTATTTATACTTCTACATGCATTTGCGTGTTTTACGTGGTCTTTGCTGTTTGCAGCTCAGCTTCAGATGTTTAACTGATCCAATTTAGATTGAAGTGTTTTTGGCACAAGTGCATTTACTATTATAGGTACGATTTTAAACTTCATATTCTATCGTTTTTTCAGCTCCCTGGCAAGGTCCTGACAATCTATTTTTTTTATAACTCATTTTCATGTTCACATTGTGGCTGGCTGGTATCTCGCTCCGTTCACAATTATTCCCGATTTGGCCCTCTTACTTGGGACGGTATCCTCGGTCTGGGGTGTGATTTGTTTCTTTTATTCTTCATTTTACAGCTTTTGATGTCGGTCTTTAAAAAGTAGCATATTCTCAAAATTTCTGTGATTTTTACATGCAGAATTTCTTCACGATGCCAATATTTTCTTGAGATTTCGAGTTGAATGAGTGGGAGAGATCTTTAGAACGGAATCTGATCAAGATGGCCTGTAATCCAGTTTTATGGGAATACATCGATTTGGTGCTGATAAAGGGTGTTCCAATAACTTGGTCTGATTTCAAATGTGAATTAAATTTAAGCGTCTAATGATTTTTTTCTTTTTCTTTTAGATTTTAACAACTTAAGTCTTTGGCAATTTCAGCCATGGAAAGATTAACAATCAAACAACGTGTTAAAGTTACACGAGTGCAAAAAAAAAAAAATTGAAAAATTGTTCGTAAATTCAAATAATCTGGGTCGGTGGCAGATGTGAAAACACCATTGCTTGCTCGTTTTCGCCGTTCAGCTGAAAACATTGCTGCAGTGACACGAGAATGTGTCCGAAAATCCAGACACCCCTATTCGTCATCGCGCGCAGGAATTGAACCTCTCCACAACAACATTACATCGTTTCCAATTGCACTATCGGTTGGTCGATTATGTTGACCTAAAAATCGCGAAATGCATTTCTGTTTGAACGTCCATTTTCGTAATAGGCTTTGATAACTTTAACACGTTCTTCGATTGTTAATCTTTCCATAGTTGAAATTACCAAAGGCCTAAGTTGTTAAATCTGAAAGAAAAAGAAAAAAATCATTAGACGCTTAAACTTAATTCACATTTAAAATCTACCCAATTTATTGAAACACCCTTTATTTTCTAGTCTTTGCCGTTATTCATTCGCCTGAATTTTTATCTACAGATTCCGATGATTTCTTTTAGGATGTATAGGATCATGACTCTCTCTTGATTCACTTCCTTTATTGTCCTACATTCACAGGAAAGATAGTGGTTTTTGTTGCCTTCATACTTTGGAATTCAGCTGACTTCTATTAGACTAGTTACCATCCAATGTTAGAGAGTCCAGTCTACTTTACTATTGAACTCCTAGCTGGCGAGTGACTAGAGTGATTCATAATATTCCACAGTACATCAGTGTGAAAGTGAATGCAACAGACTAACCCGAAATTAAACGCCTTGTCGATTTTAATTTTTGCGCTGATATCCATTACACTATCGTCTTTTCTGTTACCTTCTTTTGATTTGGATACTAGCATAGTACCCGTAAAAAATAATGGAATTATTTCTGTACAAATCGCACTGCCGTCTCACATATCTGAGTATCTTTGTATTCCACTTAGTATCAAAATGTTGCTTTTTGACCACCTGCCTAGAATCAGTGCGTAGTTTCCTCGACCTCTGATGTAATGAATATGCATACACTTGGGTTCCCCCTCACAGTAATATGATTGGCTGGTGTCAGCCATAAATGCAGACTGATGTGGAGGTACAGGAGGACGCCTATTGTCTTCGCCTATTGCCTACGTCTATTGCCTACCACTATGACGAAGACCAGTCCATTACGGTTACCTGCTAGATTGTCCTGTTGGGTTACAGTAGTCCAAAACCACTTTGCTACTTCGAATAAATATATCCTTTTCCGGGACATATCGACCGCCAAACTGGAATTCAAGCAAAATGTCTGTTTTAATCTTCGGTAGGACGTAGTCTACGGCCACTTCACGTTGAAACACCGGCTCCCGTACGATTGCCGAAGTTAAGCAACCTCGAGCCTGGTCAGCACAAAGATTGGTGACCACTGGGAATGCTTTAAGCTTGGATGTTCAGCTGATGTAATGGGCAATGGCTCGGAATTGTTAATCGGAGAGCCGAGTTCGAATTCCAGTTGGGTTCGTTACATTTACTCACGTGCAGTAAGGTTTGTATCACTAAACCAGCATTACCCCCCCTATCAATTTTTTATAATCTAAAATATATATTCTGGCTTTAAATAACCTGAAAAGGGTTGATAAGCCGTAGAAAACGAATCAAACAATCTGGGGTGCAGACGTTTTAAAAAACAATGCGAACATAGTCCAAGGGATCCCCCCGCCCCCTAAGCAGCACAACCACATTGTACGAAAATAGTCGGTTATGGTCGGAGTATTTTGACTCCTCTGTGTCACTGGTTACGGGGACTAAGCAGTTGTCATCCTTGTCCAAATCTATGCGTATAAAATGCCATATTAAACCGATCCCGAGCCACATTCCCTGACGAGGTAGTTAATATCAGATACTCTGTTTAGGGTCAAAGTGTCGCCCAACGACCTTCTATCTTGGATCATTGTAGGGTCTTTTCCCTCTACGAAAAGGTTTACACACACACACACACACACACACACACACATATATATATATATATATATATGTAGAGAGAGAGAGAGAGAGAGAGAGAGAGAGAGAGAGAGGTGGATACACATTCTGTTTTATATGTAAGAACATTTGCATTGTTTGAGATCGCAGTATCAACAAGAAATTTTATCTTTATTAACTTATTTTAGACTACAAAGTTTCACTGGTTTGTTGCGTTGATAACCGAAATCATTGCAGTGTCCGCATTAGTGGAAAAACTGTGGCAAGTGTTCAAATCTGTGCTTAACTTCTTCATGGTTTAGTTCTCTGCAAATTAAGCATGTAAATATTCAATCGAAGCCAACGCTTGGCAGGTGGTTCCTGTAAAGCTTCTCTAGCTCACAAGATGCCTACCACATTGTACACTCACGTCTTATTATTTTACTGGCGTGTTCAGCGTTTGGTCGTGTGCGAAAAGCAAAATTTCAACCGTTGTGCTCTACGTTCTTCTTCAGATATCTGTCTTTCCGGGTAACCTTCCGGGAACTTCCAAATGAAATCTTTACTTACTCTACGTGGGTATATTGTTCTCGTTTCACCGTCCATATCTAGGAATAACTCACCGTATTCTTCAGTACGCTGGGCTATTGTCCCATGGGACAGTTCTTATTAAATACAGGATGAGTCAAAATTATGTCAACACTAATATGAGAGGAATATTTATTCAGAGTTTACTAAACTGTCTTTACCTGTCCACCAGCACGATCGATGCACAAATACTATCGGTCAACAGTATAATTTAGTGCCATGACACACATTTCACGGGGAATGTCTGATATTACACATATGTTGGATAACGAACATTAGGATTACAGCGTTCAAAATAAGAATTTAAAAATAGTGCTCAATACATAAAGTAGAGCCGTAAATATTTATTTATTTATTTATTATGCAGTGTTACATTAGAACATGCACATATCCACTACAAAATTGTACATTTTTGTTTCAACGTCAACGTTAGATGTCTCATCAGCTGGGGAATTATGCTGTTACCTAACACCATATTTCCCCACCTGATAAGACGTCTAAAAAAGCAAAAACACTGCATAAGATATATATATATATATATATATATATATATATATATATATATATATATATTATTTTGACATTGTTCGGACGGTTATCCTCATATTTGTTGGCATGTTCACGACGTTTCGACCATTGTACGTTCCGGCCTTCATCAGGTGATTAGAATTTCAGACGAACCCTTTATTTCGTCTACCGGTTTAGATTGTTCTATATCTCAGTATTAGTTATCTCCCTAGTAATTCAACTCTCCAAGTTTTTGTTCCAAGGCCAGGGGATAAAAGCGTTGGTTGAATCCTGTGACATGACCCAAAGAGTTGTGATGTCAATACCTGGCCACAGCAGAGGTGAACAAAGGCTTAGAGACTTGACTTAAAAGGGAGATAATTAATACAGATATATCCGAAAGAGGCATGGTACGTGGAACTAAAACAATAAATAGTTCGGCTCGAAATTCCGATCACCTGAAGAAGGCCGGAGCGTACAATGGTCGAAACGTCGTGAATATGGCAACAAACATCTGAACCACAGTCTGAACAATGTAAATAGTGTAAATAATTACAGTGTTTTTATCAGAAATATATATATATATATATATATATATATATATATATATATATATATATATATATATATATATATATATATTCAGTTGTATAGATATTAGTTTAGAACCTGAGGTTCAAGCTCTTACAATCATCGGATAAACTGGTTTATTTTTCAAAAATGGATCTATTTATGCTTGTTTTACTATATTTGGTGGTGGGAGGGGGAATCTGCTTTTGTGTTTGTTTGGGGTGACACTCTCACATGCATAGACACACATGCATACGGGTGTACGTCTTTTAGTTCAGACAAACAGATCCATATAAACAATCTGAGGCTAGACGCAGATACATATCCGTGCGTTAGAAACAATTTAAAAAAAAAAAATAAAAAACAGTATGTCTGATGATCGCACAAGCGTGAAACCCAGGGTCACATAGTCATCATATCCATAAAACAGAATATGTTACCTCTATCACTAATATTGAGCACTTTCCAATAAGTACCGCGCATATAATATATATATAAATATACACATACACACACGCATACACACACACAGACATATATATATATATATATATATAAACTATCTTAAGACTGAGTTTGTCTGATGATCACAAAAGCGTGAAACCCAGATTCACTAACTCATATTCATACAACTGAATATGTTAGCTCTAAAACTGATATTGAGCGCTTTCGTCTAAGTACTGCAGATATAATAATAATAATAATAATAATAATAATAATAATAATAATAATAATCTCTAATAATATATATATATATATATATATATATATATATATATATATATATATATATAGATAGATAGATAGATAGATATCGCATAAGACACACTGGCTTCTTGGATACATTCTTTTTCTAATTAGGTTTTGATCTCTGAGCGATGAAACATATTTAGCCCTGAAGACACGACATAAATGTTTAAGTTTCATTCTATGCAAAATAGGTTATTCGACGCCGGAAATTACAGTGTATTGCGTTGATATTTTGTAAAAGAAGATGTTGCGAAAATCTGATCAGATAATATTGATTTGCTTACTTAATGATTTAAAGTGAATTTGCAAAATCAATTATTAAAATGCGGGAAATGTTATCAAGACGGAATTGACTATATTTTGATTCATTTATGTTTCAATCTTATGCCTTTCCAATGCATTGAACCACAACACATAAACACAGCCAAGTGTGATTCGTTCAAATATAATGTATATCTTTAGTGTTTAAATGGCTGAAAACAACTTGTCTGACAATGCGTTCAGATCTGTATCTTTCCTTGTACTTTGTCAATGTGAGAGCTTGCATTTCTCTCTCTTCCCCCTCTCTTCACCCTCTCTCTCTCTATATATATATATATATATTGAGAGAGAGAGAGAGAGAGAGAGAGAGAGAGAGAGAGAGAGAGATAATAATATCAAATCCGCAAGTTGTAAGGATAATCCAAGTAGGTCTTTTTAATATAAATTATTAAAAAGATAGAGCCATGAAGAGAGCTCAATGTATTTATATACAGAGCAATATAATATACATCAAGAAGAAAAAAAATAGCTGTCACTTTTACTTTCTCCATCTACCATTACTCATTGTGCTGACACATTGTTTCCCCTTTTTTTCTCTTCCATTCAATAATGTAAATCCTCGGGAAAATCTTTCTAGGTCAAGTAGTTTGCTTCTTGTTCTCCTATGATATATATTTAAAAACATTTTTAATATATTGTTTGGATAAATTTAAACCATTTTGTACATTCGGTTCGATAAGACAGACATTAAAACCTTAACTGCCGAAATAAATTTATTACCGAATTCTTCGATGATATGTTAAGTTTTCCTTTTTAGAACGAGAGCTTCCTTTTCTGGACAAAGAGTGTGTAAAAACTGGCCAAATGTTTTATATTTCCGAGCGCTTTCGGCTATACCTTTAGCCATTATCAAGGATAATTCGATTTTTCAGCTTAATTGAGTGTGTGAATTATGTGTATGCTTTAGTGTATTGTAGGAATGTTTTTAATTTCCGAATACGGTTAGCACATTGTGGCTTTGTTCGTAGTTAATATTGTTAAGAGTTGGCTTTTTCTTTTTCATTATTAAAGCTTCCATTATTTTTAATCTTTTTTACAGGTGGATGCAGTTATTATATTTGTGTTTTCTAATAGTATGTTTCTAATGGAGTCTGGTAAGTTTATGTGTGTGTTTAAATGGATTCTAATGGAGCTGTGATCAGATAGGTGTAACGTAAGACGTCTGGATGTGTAGCCGATGTAATTATTTATGAGTCCGGTTTGATTAGGAACACAGTTCCTTAAGGGGCATTTGAACTCATAGATAATGTTCGTTCTTTGTAATTTTGACTTAGTTGGTGTATTGGTATTTTTGAGGATAAGGTTAGCTGTCTTAAATTTTTTATAATAGATAATTAATTTGATTTTTTTATTCGGGTCAATTGGGGTAGTATATTTCTTTATAATATGCCTTAGAGAAGATTCGTCTTGTTTGTAATTAATGTGCATTTGGTTTTTGTAATAAATGTGTATGCGATTTTTGGCTGTGTGTTCACTATCGTTATTGCTTACTTTGGGGAGAAATAGTCTAATTTGGTGGCCTATAAGGTGGTTAGGGAAGCCGTTATTGATTACTGTTTGTTTAACATTATTAAGTTCTTTGAGGAAGAGTAGTCTAGAGGATGAATTCTGGTGTACCCTTTTTAGAAAGTTTTTTTTATTACTGCTATTTTGTACCTAAGTGGACATTCGCTTTAAAGTTAAGGTGGCACGAGTTTTTGCTGGTGTTTTTTTTTATATAATGATGTAATGAAAGTGTTATT